AAACATACTCAGACACAGGCACATTTGAGTGTCATCATTACTGGTTTTGAACTCATGAAAGATCTGTAAGTCTACCGATTCACGAATGCTGCAAATCCTGTTTTTCTCCTGAAGTTGAGAGCCTGGCCTCTCCCACTGGGCCCCAGCCCATCTGCACTTCCTGGCCCGCTGCTTGCAGCTGGACTCACCTGAGGGCGCCTGCCGACAGGTGTCCATACGAGCCACTGGCCGCCGAGCTGCTCCGTGAGTTGTTGATGTAGGCCACCAGTGAGTTGGGCGAGGTCCGGATCATCCGCTGCAGGTCCAGGCTGGCATCGGAGAGCGGCGAGATGGACAGCGCCCGCTTGCGGCTCAGGCGGGGTGTCACCCTTGGGCTGGAGAAGCGTGACACTGTGGGGACACCGGCCCAAAGCATGTCAGCGTCACATGTTCAGGGGGGTGGGAGAGGAGGGTAGGGAGGAAGGAAGGGACAGTAAAGGCCCATGAGGCGGATTTAATGGGAATTGCAGCTCGGTGAGCTCTGGGATGAGAGATGCAGCCTCTGTTAGTCCCAGCTTGTCCATCCATGATAGGACCCATCCACATGTGGAGTGGTGAGGTTTGAGAAGCGGTGCTTCGTGTCTATGAATACTGAATATACGCTAGTGTGTTTCTTTGCTTTAAAAAAAATTAATTAGAAAAATATTAAAAAATATATTCATTACATCATCCTTCAATTACGTACAATGTATGATTTCCCCATGAAGGGGCTGTGGTGATGGCACATGAGTGAATTGGTGGTGGGAAGTACATGGGGATTACAGCCGAGATGAAAAAGGGTACATTGTACAAAAACGAAGAATGATGTTTTCTTGCTTTTAGGGTGCACGCAGAGGTTTTGGGGAGGTACAGAGGCCAGGCTGGGGCCAGGAGAGCTTAAGGTGTGACAGTGCACAGAACACCAGCGAGCATTTTGGCGGCCTCTCTCACTAAGTGAGCACCTGTGAGGCCAGAACCAGGTCAAGACCAGGGTGTGGCCAGCACCCGATACCCCTGCGTCCCCTTCCAGGCTCACCCCAATGGCTGAGGCCACCTGCGTGGGTTTCTAATGTTCAGATTACTGTTGCCTATTGTGGACATCTGCCTGCTAGCTAAATAGAACTACAAATCCTCTTTCCTTTAACATTAGCAATTTGTGTGATTTCTCCATGTGATTGGTTGGGTGTGCCAGTAGCTGTTTTTTTTCTTGTTTGAAATAGAGGTAACACTGGCTTACACCAGTATATGATTCAGATATCTATCTATCTATCTATCTATCTATCTATCTATCTATCTATCTATCTATCTATCTATCTATCTATCTATCTATCTATCTATCAATACATGCTAGCACAGGCACATCCCTCCACCACCCATTCTGACTGCCCTTTACCCCTCCATAATTATGGGAAGAGACAAGAGCCTGCCCCCAGCGAGGGCTCTCTGCACCTGGGGTCACAGGATTCCCCACATGTTTCTAGAGGTTCCTCCTCTCTGCTCTCACCCTGTACCAGGGTCTCTCCACTGGACAAACAGTGGCCTAGAAATGATCTGATAGCATCACTGGCCAACTCTCTACATATTTAGGTTCCCGCCCTGGCCACATCCTCCTTGAGCCTCAGTTTCCTCATTATGGAAAGGTCTGATACTGCTGACCCCAGAGCTGTGGTGAGAAGTATGCAGGTGATGAGCAACAAGTGCCTGGTACACAGCCTGGCAGGTGAATGCTTGGTCGGGTGCCTGCCCACCTGCATGTAATATCCTCTCCCTGGCCCCTGCTGGCCCCTGCCCACCAGCTCCCCCTTCAGGGGCTCCGGGTTTCCTTCAGGCTGCAGGGGTGTCTAGAAACAACTCTAGTGTTGCTAGCACATATCCACTGCTAACATGGCCCAGCCACCCCCCTCCACGGTGTTCCTGGGCTGGCGATGCTGCCTTCTTCCCTTCTGCTCATACCTCACAGGGCCACTCCCCCCAGGAGGAAGCAGGCTGCCCTGGCCACAGGATTTGTGCATTAGTGCCCTGTATCTACAGCTGTAGGAACACCAATGACAGTGCTGTGACCCTCTGAATCCCCATCCCCAGCCCTCACTGGCCCCACCACCTCATGCCCTGGATCCACTGCTGACCCCCCTATTTTTTTCTGGCTGGTAGACATGGGAAGCCCCTTTACCATGGAGCAATCAGGACTAACACCTCTTAGATTGTAGGTAGCAAAGAGAAGGCCCCAGAGTCTCCAGGCTGGAAGGGGATTCCAGGGCTTTCTCTTCTGTCTTCTTTGTGGGTGAGGGGTATGAGAGGCCACAGAGGGAGTGGGCCACAGCCTGTGAGTAAGGAGTCTCTGGGTGCAGGGACTGAACCTGAGTAGGACCAAGCAGCCCAGGGTGGATTTGGTGGGGTGAACACAAGGAGTCTTGGGCTGGAGCCCTAAGTCAGAGCATGACTCGGAGCAGATTCTGTGGGAGACACGGAATCTTCATCAATGACCTGAACACAGAAAGGTGCCTGCCAGCCCTGGGTCTGTCATGATCATGGGATGGCAGACACAGAGGTGGCTCACAAGCCCCGCAGCTATGGTGCTCATGTAACTGGATGCTTCGTTTATTCTATTGGGTTCTGAGAAAAGGGGCTTACAGATTTTTTTTTAAAAAAGATTTATTTATTTATGTACACAGAACTGAGGCACAGGCCAGTGGAGCAGGGGCGGTGAGAGGATTCACCAGAGACAGAATGGGGAGCAGAACAGGCTGACTGATGAAGTACACTGCTGAGGGGAGCAGTGGGCGGGCCAGGAGAGGTCTGCCACGCCATGTGGATCACCTCCAGGGTGGGGATAGAACTCATTCATACAGAAGTGGCTTTAGCTTCTTAGTGCTGTGTTTAACCTGCTGCGCCACCAGGGAGGGCCCTGTTTGCGTATCTTTTAACGACAGCTATGGTGGTACACAGAAGGTGTTCCAAAGATGCATTTGGAGATGCTTGCTAGCTCTGGCCACAGGGGTTTAGGGGTATAGGCCCCTAAATGTTATCACACATGCAGAGGGGAGAATCCCTGTCTACACGCCCGGTGATGCAGGATGTCCACCTTTGCCCTTTTGCCTCACAGAGGCCAGAGGAGCAGGGGATGTTACAGCTGCTCCCATCTGGGCCAGCAGCCTAGGTGACAAACAGATGTGGCATGAGGCCCTTTGGTGTGGTGTTCAGATAAATGACATTTTCGAATTCTCATAGTAGTGACCCAGCTACCACCCTCTTTAGTGACATTGAGACCCACTGCCTTACTTAATAGCTACCACCATCATCTAAGATGCAAACCCAGCCTTGCAGATGAGGGTGGGATTCGAACCAGGTCCAAAGGAGCCTTGCTGTGTGGCTTTCCAGGGGCTCACTGTGTCCTTACTATATTCAGAAAGGTGGGGAGAGGCAGACCTTGGAGATGTCCCCTCACCACAAACAACTTTTCCCTCCCTACTTTAAGTGGCTCTGAAAGAGAGCTCCCTGACAGGCAGCTGCTTCATGGCCACCCTCTCTCATAATCTGAGAAGCCCTGACTCAGCCCACCCAGCCCCACATGCCCACCTCCTGTAGGACTGAACTCTGTGGGTTCCCTCCAGTCACATGGCCACAGAAACACAGAAGCTTGCTTGACCTCCCTTTCCTCACCCCCCTCCACAACTAAGTGTGCCTCTTTCTTCCAACCTCCACCTGCCTGGCCCACCTCTTCACTTGCCCTGTTCAGCCCAAGGCTCCTGTACTGAGCTGACAGCAGCAGCCCGAGGGCCTTGCTTTGTCCATCTGTACAATGGGGCAGCACAGCTTTACCTGCAGGGACAGGGTCGAGGAGCATGCCTACATCCCACAGCCCTTCCAGAATGAGGCCGCACTAGCATCGCTTCTCGAAGGGCTGGGAAGACAGTTTGGATGGGCAGGGTGAGCCTAGAGGTAATAATGGCATGAAGGACAGCCCACCTAGAAACCGTGACGGCCACACAGCAGCACATCTGCCACGAAACAGCCACTCATTCTTGTTCGCTCGGGCAGCTTCTCCTTGTCTTAGCGCCTCATGACTGAGTTCACTCCCACTCAAGGAAATTCAAAGATGCCAAAGCGAATCTTCTCCACTACTCCCGCTAGTCACAAACTGAGTGGCAAACAGGGGCACAGAACGGGGGGAAAGACCTAACACCATCCAAGGGGAGAAACGCCTCTTTGTAATACATTCCTTAAAATAGGCTTTGCCGCTAATATTTGGATTCCCACCCTCTCGGGCGCCCCTAACAAGAGGAAACAGGCCAAATCTGACAGTGATATTCATCTCTGTTATCCCCACCCCTCAAGGGAAATATGTTTATTAATGCGCCTCTTCCCTTGATAAATTACTAAATAGAAAGAAAAGCCTGGCACTCATTTCCCGTGGCTTCCCCTGTGATTTATGGCCAGAGACTGGCAGAGCCGTCGCGTCCATTCATCTGTGGATGCGCCTGTTCTGGTGTCCATCAGCTGCCAGGTGAGCAGCCGCCAGCCTGCCCTGACCTGAGAGGATGCCCGACAGCGCCCACCCATCACTGCTTACATCTGGCTCCCGTCGCCGTCACTAGCTCTTTCTCTTGCTCATTCATGTGTTTGTTCATTCACCCATAGGCCCCTCATATGGTGCTGACAGTATGTCGGGCGCTGGGCTGGCCAGGTGGGCCACAGTGAGGACCTTGGCCTTGTCCTCCTGGACCTCACTGTCGAGGTGAGTTGAGAATGTTTTTTTGCAGCTGGTGGGACAATAGCAACTACCACTAGCCCTGGGCAGGTGAGCAGCCCGTCACTGGCAGCTCCAGGTAGACCTTCTGTAGAGGGGGATGGGAACCCCCAGGGGTCTCAGACCCAGGAATCTGGGTTGAGGCTGGCAGGAGGCATGGAGGGCCTGGCTCTGTAAGACCAGGCAGGTGTGGCACTGGCAATCAAAGGAACAGTGTCCTGGCCCAATGCCCTGGTACCCCAGTGCCTCCTCCATGTCACTGTCTTCAGCACAACTTTCCTCAGAGTGAGCACAACACCCCTGGTGGTGGGGCTCCTGGGCCTGAGACCCTCTGATAGGGAGCACCCCTGCATAGTCCAGCTCCCTCACCTGCATATTTTCTGAAATTACTGAGATAATTTAAGGAAATTGAGTTTGGGGTCCTTGAAGTGCCCCACACTTATCTGTCTCTTTACCTTCTTCTTGTCAGGGACAAAAGAGCCTATTTTTTGGAGCACTGAGGCTTGGGGCTCAGACTGAGAACCTCCATTTCCTACTCATGTGACAGACAAATAACTAAGTTGAGAGTTCTGGGCCCTCAACTCCTCACCTATGACGTGGCTTTATAAGTCAGGATTCTCTCTCT